AAACTAATAATAATAATAATAATAATAATAATAATAGACTTCTGTTTAAATTAAACTAATAATAATAATATAATGTAATAATACTAATAATAATGCATTATTATTATTTTTTAAAAACTACCCAGTTCTTCCGGGCTGCCATGAGTTCTCTTTCGTTTAAGTCCACATTTTCGGACTTAGACTTTCTAGTTAGTTATTCGTGTGTTAGTTTGGGGTTGTACCCCTTCTTGTTTAGACTTGTTGAACTTTAGATGTTTTGGTACATTGACTTTCAGGTTCTAGGTGTTATTTCCGCATTTGTTTAGTTAGACTTTTGGAGTTTATGGGAACTCTATTTCTTTTCCTTAGCATTTAAACCTGTTTCCGTAACTTTAAATGCCTTAGTTTTTGGTTAAGTTGTTTAGTTTGGGTTATAGTAGTGGTTTTCCTACCGGAGGGTTAGTGTGGGTGTCAATCACTACGGTCTGGGTCGTGACATTATATCTTTGACAAACAATATATATCTTAAATTTTGGTTGTATTCACTTTATTTTTTAATATGGTTATTTTTGTGAAATTAAAAACATGAAATTAAAGCTAATTGAAAAGTATTTAAGTTGTTAATTTAATCAATTTATAGAATCAATTTTTATAAAGTATAGGTGCGAAAATTTTGTCTCTATATCTACTAAATTTATAATTTTTTCATGAAGTTAATGATTTCTAGCTACATGACTGAGCAAATGCGGATAAATTCAAGAGCCTATAAATAATAATTATATTCTATAGAGTTGTTAAATGTTCATTTTTGTTTTCTCTTATTTTTTTATATTTTCTTTCATTGTTTTTTATCGCTCATATATTTAGTAATCCAAAAAGAAGATATAGCAAAGGTGATATGACAATATGGTAGCTAGTCAAATATAAATTCATCAAGATGAAGAACTAGAAAATTAGATGCGGTGTAATATTCATCAATGAGATTATTAATTAAATTAGTTTGATATAGGTTCATCAAGATGAAGAAGACAAATTTATGATGATGGAAGATTCATCAAGACATATGGCCCAATTAATTTGAAAAAATAGAAGTTTGAATGATTCACAAATATATAAAAATAGATTTATTGTTATTTATTTCAGTATTTTTCATTAATCATTTCTCCAAAAATAAGCTGTATATACCCCAAAAACAAGACTATGATATTACACTGTGTCCTCTTCTTTTCTGCTCCTCATTCAATTCAATCCAATTTCCCTTTTTGTAGTTATATTCCTCACTAGGTAAATTACCCATGCTTCGCACGGGATTGAACTATTTTACTAAGCTTACATATGGTCATTCTGTAATATTCGTATTTTCGATACATACACTACATTGTCAAGAACATTTTATCTTAAGGTAAAACATTCTTCTGAAATCTTTAAGTGCAATATTTTTTTTAATTTTCGTTTTTGTTATACAAAAATTATGAGTCATAGAGAGATTTTTAGTATAAGAAAGAAGTCTAAGAAAATCTCCATGAAAATAGTTGGTCAGAAGTAATGAAATTTTCAAAATTCCAAGAAGTTATAAAGAAAAACATCAGACATTAAAGAAGAAACCAAAAAGCCTCGAACAACGACACTCCCAAGTAAAGTGGGACATCACGTCCATACAAGAACATAATTAACTAAATTCAAATGGAGGACCTCGACTCCTTTCTTATGAACCTCCATCAGCCTCTTATTTATTATAGTATGTTGTATTATGTATATGTTAAAAATGACCATAAAATTGTGAGTATCATAAATGTTTTTCCTCATTGTCTCAGAATAGTCATTACTATTGCCAGGATTGAGAAGTGAAGAAATAGGGGAAAAACTTTTACTTGGAGAGTCTTGGAAGGAACTGATAATAAACAAAGTTTTTTTTATGAGCTTTTTTTCGAGCAATTTTTCCAAAAAGTATATGAAGAAATCTGTAAAAAGGGACAAAAGAGAAGATAAATTTTCAATCATCCTCACCGAAATTTTTAACTGAGTTCAAAAAAAAAAGTTACAAAAATAGCAAAAAGAAATTGCAAGGGATACATGAATCACTATGACTTGCGGTAAAAGATTAAGCTTCATAAAATAGGAGGAAGAAAGCTTTGAGAAATGGAACACACTTCATAAGAAGCTTAATAAATGTATATGTATTTGGTGTCTTATTGCAAAAAATACCTACAAATAATAGTGGCAAAAATAAAAGATTTGTTTACTAAAGAACCAAATGTAATGAATTCAACCATTTCAAAAGCGTTATGAGTTGTGAGCGGAGAGGTGCAAGAGTAGTAATGTTGCATTGCAATTAAAATCAATTTTCATTGTTTATATGAAGAAAACTGAAGAAAGGGACAAAAGAGAAGATCAATTTTCAATCATCCTTGCTGAAATTTTTAA